TGGGGATTCATTCAACACCGATTGCATACTTACATCCGGTGACAGTTGTTTGTTGACTCACGTCCCACATGTCTTTAATTCCACGTGTCATCCGTCATTCGTCCAGATATCACTAACCAATTTTCCTCTCTAAGCAAACATAAAGTAGCATTATTATGCTAAGAAAAAATATATACTCCACTAAGTACAATTTTAGTTCATCTACATGTTGTTTGCAACTACATACATTAGTTATTCTAGCACGTTTAACTTTTCTTTTTCTTAACTTGAGAAATTAATTTCATTATACACTAAATTAACTGATCTGACGTGTCAGTTAGTCTATGTGGATGTCAACCTTATCATGTCGTGCCTCGTAAAAAGGGGAGACAAATGGTCGGGGTGAAAGTAAAGGTGACAAATGGATGAGTCGGGCCGGGCCGAGTCAAAAAAATAGTAATCGATCGGTCACCAATCTGGGCCGGGTTTCGAGTTTTACAAATCAGGCTTAACGGGTCCGGTCCCATCCGGTCAAAAATTGAACCGGAACGGTTCCGGGCCTAATGGGCCGGGCCCTCTTTTTTTTTTTTTTTTTGTATTTTGTATAACTAAAGTAAAAATATAAAACAAAAAAATAATCTTATAAAAAGATTGTTTGAATAAAAGATCCAAAAACTTTAAAATTTTTATATTTGAATATTTAATTGAGAATTTAAGATAATAGAATAAAATGAAGATGGAAAAAAATGCACTTATAATTTGCAAGTTCAAACTTGCAAATTAAAGTTTACATTTAACAACAATTAAATTAATAAAAAAAGAGTAAATTTAAAGTTTAATTATTAAATATAAATCTAGAACTTCAAAGATTTTGCATTACCTTAGTAAGTTCTTCATAATCAATATGACCTTCTTGGCCATCTTCTGGAGTGTTAAATTCAAAGGTTTTCATAGTTTTATTTCAAATTTTTATTGCATAATAATACTTCAAATTAATCTAACAAACTAAAACATTAAGCACAATACGTTTAATAATTTTAAAATAACACAAATTGTCTCAAATCAACTTAAAATATTAAATACGAATTTTTCGAGGACGCTCAAGACAACTCTTCATATGCCTCCTTAAATAGCTCGTGTCCTCCCACTTTCGACGAAGATTTAAGACTCGAGTACAGTTCTTGCACTTTACTTTGCGAACTTCTTCATTTTCTTCTACCACCTCAAAGTGTTCCCGAACATAATAGCGCACTCTAGAATCACGGGGCATGATTTAACTTGAATTGAGAATTTGAGTTTGAGAAATGAGAGATGAGTGAAGAAATGAAGAAGAGGGGGGTATATTTATAGTTTTTCAAAGGGCTAAATTAGTAATTACTAAAAGTATTATTTTTTAAAATAATTGCCCAAAAAGAGCTATTCTTGCAAAATATCTGTTGGGCAACAGTCAAATTGGAAGCTGACCGTTACCAACAGTCAAATGAATTTTTTTTTAAAAAATCAGAAAATCACTGTTGAATCGGGCCGGGCCGATTCAACAGTGATTTTTCTTGATCGGGTTTGACTGGTCCGGTTAACCGGTAATGAAAATGTAAACGTCCCAACCCCCCAAATCCAGCCCTACTCGGCCCCCTATCACCGGTTCAAGTTAATACCGGTCTGGGCCGGTCCAGAACCGGGTCAACCCGACCCGTTAAACACCCTTTGGTGAAAGTCATGAACTTATTATTGTACATCTAGCTAAGATTAAACCAATTTTAAATTAGACAAGTTGAAAGTTAAATGTGCAAAATCAAGAGATAGAATTGTGAAGATTGCGTAATGGAGGGGTAAATAGATGATCATATAACTATAACTTTTTTTTCACCAAAATCATATAACTATGTTTTCTCTCACAAAAATCATAAAACTTTCACTAACTCGCACAAAAATTATAGTGACACAAAAACATATATTTTCAGTAGTATTTTCTTATTTCACATTTTATTATTATTTATTTTCAGTCTAATAAATAATAACACAATTAAAATAAGAAAAATATATTTTTTTAGCAGCTCCAAAAAATAATAGCGGATAAGATATATATTTTGTATATGTATGTATTATATACATATAATATACATATTTTATATATTTTTTAGTTAGCGAATGCAATTAGTTTCAACCGACCGATCGATTTTTGCCCTTAAAATAGGAATTATCCAACCCGACCAAACGCAGTACCCATATACATAAAGTAATATAATACCGTAAGTGAATCCTTCACCAAAAAAATTAGTTTGGAATGCGTGTGATTCTGACCAAAAAACAAAAGAGAAAGAAATAAAAAGTATGGATAATTAGAGAGCTCTTTAAACAATAATGCTATCAATTTGAATGAAAATCTAAAAAAAATAAAAGCGTGTTTTGGGGGATTCACTTTTAATATTATTTTAATTTTTATATATGGGCATTGGGTCGGGTTAGGTTGGTCATTTTTATTTTTATTGGGTTATTATTTATTAGACTGAAAATAAAAACTAAAAACATATTACCAGAAGATAGTATTTTTCGCTCACTATAATTTTTGTGTGAGTTAGTGAAAGTTTTATATTTTTTGTGTGAGAAAATATAATTATATGATTTTTGTGAAAAAATATCATAGTGATATGACTATTTATGAAATGTACCCCACAACAGAGTATCACTGGAACACATCTTTAAATAACAATAAGAACTATGATTTCTCTCGTTCCTTGTTTGGTCTTGAAAACTATCTAGAGTAGTGAGGTAAAATTAGACAAGCTAAAGATCATGAAGTGTTGAGTCTCATATCAGTTGTGGATTTTCTAGTTGGTCTCATAATATAGTCTTGGACAATCTCAAAAGCTAGATTTCGAAGTTGAGTTAGGCACAAAGTCTTTTTTTTTTATTTTAATTATGGTCAGAGAGACTTTCTCATTATGATTTATCCGATGTTGGGCCTTCATTTTATATTATTCAAGTTCTAGATGTCTAGTCTTATGCGTGTGAGGGAGTGTTGAATCACATATGTATTGTGAATGTAGTAATTGATCCCTTAATATAATCTTGAGTCATCTTTATCTCGTAAACTAGCATTTGGGATTGAGTAATCCTAAAATCCATTTTCTTATCGTGAAGCACCATAAAAAGACATGACGAGAGCCAGGAGGCATTGTAGGATATATAGTTGACTAGCGTTGACTCCTTCTGTCAAAGACTTATGATTAGACAACATATATATTATGTTAAAGACAAAAAACAAGTTGCCATTGGCAGCACAACTTGGTACTATAACAATTTAAGAACCCCACTATCCTCGCTGTTTATGTTTATAGCTATTAATTCTAACTTCTAGGCTAGTTTTGACCAATATTATGGTAACTGGTGAGATTTGAAAAGGAAGACTTTTTCAGGGTAAGTGGGTAAATTTTAGGGCGAGTGATGTTTAGATCTCTAATTTTGAATTTGAACGTTTTAATTTGAATGATATGCTAATGACTATTTGCCTTCTATCATTTGACATAAATCCTTTAAAATCGGGGTTGCATTTGAAAAGGTTCCTAGTACGAAATGTGTAGCACTAGAAATCCTGCACGTTTACGTTGTTTGTTTTACTGCACGGTCAAGCAACAAAGCTCTTTAATATAAAGTGTAGTACTAACAGATTTATTTAATCAGATTCCGACACTGAATTATAAGTGTTGTAATAGTTAATGCTATTCATTTGTTGTAATGTTGCTGGAAATAAGTTTCATACTACATGGTATGCTTATGTTGAATCAATTTTAAGGAACATAAACTCTTTAGTGTAACCTAAACAAACTTACTCTGTTGTATGAACATGCAAATACTGAGACCTTCTTCTACACTCTAGTACTGACGAAATTAAACATACATTTTTCAACTTTAAGCTACTTCATAGATTACAATTATGCTCAATTAGGATTTCTCATCTCTTAATTAGGTTCAAGGATAATTAGGTGTATACGGTCGAAATAGATTTCGGCTCTCCTACGCTCAATCGAGTTCGAATGATAAGCGACCGGAGTGAGATTTTGGGATGAGTTCCGAAGAACAGTAAAAACAAGCTTCGAGTTCCAAGGCTGATCGAGGAGTTGGCTCGATACCATTATCGAGCCATGACCAAATCGACCCTCAAGGCAACATGAGGGTGGTCGGAAACGCACTACACCCACCAGGTCGAGTTCAAACCAAAGCCGAGGGCTCGGCCCAATAACGAGTTCGAGCCAGTATCGAGCTCGCAGACAAGAGCCGTTGCAACCGCACTAAGGGAGAGAATCTTGGCAGGAATCAAGGAAGAGACAATTCATCATGGGTTCTCCACTTTATGCTTTGCTTTATTTTAAATAAAGTAGGATCCCTCTGCTATAAAAGGGGGAATTCTTGTAAGCAGGGCAGGCTCTCACATATTGTAACAAAAAAGATTATTTCTCATATCGAAAGATATCCCCTTGTGCTTGTTTTAACTTTATCTTATTCGTTCTTCTTGCTCAACTATTCTCATTCTCATTGTCAAGAACATAGGTATTCTCATTTCCAAATACGGTTTGTATCAAATTATATCACATATCTTTAGAACCATATTTAAATTTAACTCTATCCGTTTTTCGGGTAAATATTAGGATATATATTTATGACAAATCCCACCTAGCTACTGTATGCATGAGAACGCGTGAATTTTTTCCCCCTATTTTTGTCTATAACTGGTAGCCAAATATCAATCGATGCAATTTCGTGGGTCGTGCAAGAATAGTACATTTTCTTCAAATGCGTGCTTTGACAGTTTTTTTGTTTTTAAATATCATCTGCTTTGGAAATTGACTTAACACCTCCAGTCCTTCTAGACAGCACACAACGGTCAACTCTTTCTTAACGACGCCATTTCTAAACTATCAAAGTGTCAACGTTAACAAAAACTAAAAAAATGAAACTTCAATTATTTGCCGTATATACTTCCAAATCCTACACCCTCTATAAATACGTACCCACATATTATCTTCAGTAATCAAATAAACTGCCCCTCCGATCCTTCCTTAAAGCCATTTATCAACATTTTCCATTTAACGTAAAAAAAGCAGAAGCTATTGGCTGTGTTCGTTGCTAGCAATAAGAAGAAGAAGAAGAAGGCTTAGAAATTAATTAAAAATGTCAAAAGCAGCAAAGAATATGAGAGTTCCAGTGAAGATAATTGTAATCAATACACAATATATAGAAACGGATGCCAGCAGCTTCAAATCAGTAGTTCAGAGGCTAACCGGCAAGAATTCCACTGTAGAGCTGGAGGCAACAGCCGCTCCACCGCCACCGGCAGCCGCTTCCTACGGCGGCCACACTAGTTGGAATTATCAAAATGGTGAAACATTATTAATGGCAGAGACTGAGTCTATTGCGTGTAAACCAAGTCCGATTTTAGGGTTCAACGATTTTGACAAGTTATTTAAAGAGTTGCCTCCTGTGGACGACCTTCTTCGCCTTTGTGCAGATGAATTTCGTTCTAATTTTTAGCCCACGCGTGACTTATTCCTACATGCTACTGCGTCTTTATTCTAATTTGTTACGTTGTACTAAATCATTTCTACTACCATTATTTAATTCATTCATTCTTTATTATCCTTCTCTAGTTCTGCTGAGCCCCCCCAAATTTTTACGCTCTGGTTAACGATTTTGGGAAGATAGGTGTGTTATTACAAAGAGAGATGAATTCAGGATATAAAATTTGCGGTTTAAACCTCTAGTTTAGGGGTGGCAAGTGGGTCGGGCCAGAACATAAATGGGCCTAACAGGCCGGTCCCAGTCCTTAAATAAACGGTCTCGGGCTAAACATACTTTTTGTAGGAACCAACTCGGAGCTGGGCCCACAAACTCATGGTCCCGGATTAAACGGGTCGGGACCGTATTCCCAACGGGCCCAACGGCTAAGCAGCAATTATTTTTTTAAATTAAATAGAAATTAGAGACAAAAAGATGTTAAAAAAAATATCTAAGGCAATGCCTTGTAAATTTATTATAGAATTAATTTTTTAATTCAAATTTAAAGACAAAAATATTGTAAAAAGATATTCAAAGCAATGTCTGGTAATTTTATTCAGCCTAACTAGGACTAGGTACACTTTTCCTTTCGGCCAGAACTTTCAGACGTTGATATCTGACGTTATGTTTAGGGTGTGTTTTTTATGTGTCTAGCCAAAGATCTCGTCCCCGACCGTGATTCAGTATATTTAAAAGCTAACTCCATACCACAAGTTTTACACTTAGCCTTATTTTTTGGAATTAGTTGAGTAAAAAATGGCCAAAAATGAGATGTTTCCTGCCGTTTGGTATGTTCTCTAGAAAAAGTAGGGGCAGTAACGGGAATATCAGATGGGTCAACATTTGGATTAGCATGGTTATCACTAGTTGGATCAGCATCAGGAGCAGGACTAGTGGGTATATCATCGTCCGATTGAGTTTCATCAAGATCAATTTTTTCATCATCATTTTCATCAATAGTATTAAAATTATTAGAATAGAGAGCATTCATTAATTTATGGTCTAAATGTTCATCGGGTGCAATATTATGGTAAAATTCAGTGTCACTAAATTATAATAAACAATCATCAGTATCAAGAATAGCAGGTGTAGGACGGGTATGGGATTTGGTTCGGGGAGCCAGGGGCAGGGGAGGAGGAACATCAGTACCACTTGATTCGCCAGTCTTGAATTTTCCCTTATTCTTATTTTTACCAAAAATATTTCTTAAGTAAGACATCTTAATTAATCAAGTAATAGCAAATAAATAAAACAAATAAAACTATAATATTAAGACTTAAGAGTTAGAACGAATTTACAGAATTGACGAACAACTTGTTGAAAATTGATTATCGTTGAAGACTTGAAGATTTCAATTCACTAACTTCATAATTCTTTCACAAATTATAACAACCTCAATATTTTTTTAGAATAAAGTAAGTAATAGTAGCAACCTCACAATTTTTTCACTATTTTTTTGATAAAGTAAATAATTATAGCAAGTATAGAAGAAAATTAGAGAGAGATTTTGATAGATTGATATTGATTTTTATAAGCAAATTAAAGAATGAGGGGGTATTTATAGTAGAAAATAGGGAAAATGTGTAATAATAAAAAGTTTGAGGTTAAAACTAAGTTGGAGGTTTAAATGGCTATTTTTTAAACCCCCAACCGCTCTTTTTTTCCAAAAGCTAAACAACTCGTTTTTTTAAAAAAAATATCCGTTGGGCCCGCCAAGGGACCGGTACGGTCCCGGTCTCTTGGCGGGCCAAACGGGCCCGGTCCTAATAGTTCATAGCTAAGAATCAGCCCACGAGGCCGGCATGAGCCCACCTCTAGCTGGTCTAACGGTCCCAGCCCGTTTAGTCCCGGGCCCGGCTTGCCACCCTTACTTTAGTTTTTACTATTATAATAATAGTAGTAATTATTTTAAAATTATAATAAGCTCAAAATTAATTTTGTTTTTTTAAAATACTAGTAACTTTCTTACATTTATATTATATTTCATATTGAAAATATTGGGATCGGTTGAACCCCTTGAATATATGTTACATTATCATTTTTTACTAATTTTATTATACACATTTCGTTTAATCATAGTAAGATTTTACGCTGCAAAAAAAAAAAAATAGAAATTTCAATGTGTTAAATTTTTGAAAGAATAAACAAAAGAAAGAAGGAAAAACTACTTAATTAATACAGCATGCCATCTCACGTGGGCGCCTAGTTCTAGAAAAAAAAAGAAAAAAAATAACAAGATTGATATAAGATCTGAACTTACAACATCGCATAGGGAGTTGCATCCAATAAAGATCGCATCATATGATACTTAATTAGAGCTGGGTGCACATACATTTACTTAAGTATTTTTGAAAAAATCACTCCTATAACATTACGATACATGATTAGGGAAGAGACATGGGATCATGAGTTCACGTGTCCCATAGAACTCTCTACATGTGCCCATGCCGGTTAAGTGATATTTGCGTACTGTAGCCCTGACCTGGCCTCATTAATTATTACTACCTTATAACTATTTGATACACAAAGCTAACCATGTTGGAATCACGAAATTATATCTAAAATTTTCTGGTTCGTCTCAGACTCGCACTAGTATTTTTTTTTTTTTGGGTAATTAACTTTCTTTTGTATTAATCACTAAAGAAGAGTTGTACAAATCCATAGTCAAGCTAACTCAACTAACTATCTCAAGGCTTAAAAGAGACAAACAAAGCATGCCTATTTACAGATAAAACTAATGAATCCACTATGTTCCTAGGTAAAATTGTTGTATGTAACTCTTAGCTCGAGTAGCTACTCTAACATTACAAATATATGCTATCTCCCGTACAAGAACATCACTGCCTCGATACCTTTTCTCAAATATACATGTGTTTATTTCGATCCATATTACATGTGAAATCTCAGCATATATCATTTTGAAGATGCTAGCTTTCTTGGACTTCTCTTTTCCTTGCTTGATGATCCATTGAAGGTGTTGATCCCAGCAAGTGGTAGACATATGTGATCTTTGAACCCAATTCATGACTTTATCCCACAGTTCTTTAGTGTATGGGCATTTAACAAATAGGTTTTCCTTTGATTCATCTTGATCTTGACACATAATACATTGAGGGGTAACAGTTAAACCCCACCTGGCTAGTCTATCTTTAGTTGGAAATCGTCCATGAAGCAACAACCACATAGTGAAGACTGCCTTTGGTCTAGCAGTATTTTGGAAGATTAGACATTTCCAACTAACTCTTGGTAAGTCTCCTAGAAGCTGTAGGTATACTTGTCTAATAATGCTCTTGTTGCTATCATTTATAATTTGTGTCTGCAGTATAGTTGCTCTAGAACTAATTATTCTTCTCACCATCTAACCGGCTTGCTGTGGTATTGGCATCTATTGTAGATGTTGTTTGATATAGTATATATTAATCCATCTTATCCATAGTTTCTCCTGTTTGTGTGCTAAGTCCCAGCAAGTTTTGGCAATTGCTGCTTTGTTCCACAAAGACAGGTTGATGAGGTTAAGTCCACTAGTTGACTTGGGAGTACATATCTTTTCCCATGCTACTAAGGACTTCTTGGTTATTGTGTTAGTTCCAGACCAGATGTAACTTCTACAGAGTACCTCTATCATTTTCAATACCTTAGCAGGTAAGATAAACAATTGAGCCAAGTATGCTTGAATGCCAAAGATTACAGATTGGACCAACTGCACACGACCATCATAAGAGAGCTTTTTAGCAGTCCGGGAAGAAATCTTAGCAGTGATCTTTTCAATCAAAGGTTGCCACTGTATGAGAGTTATTTTCTTTGTAGACAAAGGAATGCCTAGGTACTTGAAGGGTAAGGATCCATTTTCAAATCCCAGATGAGTCAATATTTGTTCCTTCACATCCTTCTTCACCCCACCAAAATAATCTGAACTTTTTCCTATATTAGCATGTAAGCATGATGCTTGAGAGAACTGAGAGAAGCATTTATATAGTGTGGCCACTGAATATAGGTTACCCTTAGCAAATAACATGAGATCATCAGCAAAACTCATATGAGTAATGTCCAGCTTCCTACATCTGGGGGTGATATTGGAAGCTAGACTCCTTCTTAAGCTCATGTAGTGATCTACTCAAGTACTCCATTACTATCGCAAAAAGGAAAGGAGAGATAGTATCTCCTTGTCGAATACCCTTGTCATCATTGAAAGGTTTTGTGGTTTCTCCATTCATAAGGATAGTATAGTTGACAGTCTTAATGCATTCCATTATCCATCTGATAAACCTGTCAGGAAATCTAAGCTCCTCCATCACTTATTGTAAGAAGATCCATTCTACTGAGTCATAAGCTTTTTGGAGATAAATATTTATCATACATCTAGGAGATATCTGGGCTCTAGTGTAAGATTTTACTAGCTCATGAGCTAGGATGACATTGTCAGCAATTTTTTTACAAGGGATGAAGCCTGCTTGAGCTTCACAAATGATGTAAGGCATGACTTTCTGTAATCTGGAAGCCAAGATTTTAGAGATCATCTTGTATAAGATTGAACAGCAGGCTATTGGTCTATATTCTTTGACTGTAGTAGATTTAGTCACTTTAGGAACTAATGTAACATTGGTGCATTTTATGGCCTTATAGATCTTTCCAGTTGAGAAAAACTTTTTTATAGCATCTATGATTTTTGTGTTGATAATGTCCCATGCTTTTTATAGCATCTGGAGCTTTATCATCACCAATTGCTTTAAGGCTCTCAACAATCTCTTGAGTAGTTACTTCTGCACAGAGATCAACTCTTTGTTGATGAGATAGTGTAGGGCCATTCTTCATGTACATTCTATTGATGGCAGGTAAGGAAGTGGCAGCTGATCCCATTAGGCTTTTATAAAAATCAACAATCTCTCTTTCGATAGCATCAGGGTCAGTCAACTTGTCTCCAAGCAAAGTTGTAATTTCTGTGATTTGCTTCTTTTGAGTTCGATCCTTCATCACTGATGTGAAGTACTTAGAGTTTGAGTCTCCAAGTTGTATTCATTTTGCTCTAGCTTTCTGTTGCATGACACTCTTTTCAATTAAAGACCACTTCTCAAGGTTCAGTG